CCATGAGCGTTTGTACGCCAACCGAACGGGGCTCACTCTCTCCATGCCCTCTTTAACGAGTTCAAGCAACTTTCGATCCCCGATTGTCTTGCCAGGGCAGGACAGTCTTGAGGCTTCTTTCTAGGGTTTCTACCTAGTCATGGACAAGCAGCTGCCAGAGCGGTTTTTGCTCGGAGGTATTTTTTTGACAAAAATCTGAAATTGATGAAGGTGGAGGAACAGCAGAGGAACAAGGTCGACATAGGAGTAGCTTGTTTCATTCCATGCCTGTCTTGTTGTTGCAGGAATTTTGCAGTTTAGGGGGCAGGAGAAGCATGGCCGCGCAGCGAACACACAGGGAGCTTGCTCCCAGCTATGCTGCGAGGAAAGTCCCCGTGCCTTCGGGTAGAGAGTGCCACTGGGAGACCAGAAGACCTTGGCCTTGCAGCCTACAGCGAAGCTCACGTGGAGTTGTGGTTGCTGGTTTTGGTCCTTTGCAGCAGCAAAGTCATGCCATGAGCGTTTGTACGCCAACCGAACGGGGCTCACTCTCTCCATGCTCTCCTTTTGCATATGAGTTCAAGCAACTTGCGACAGTCTTGAGGCGTCTTTTTAGGGTTTCTACTTAGCCATGGACAAGCTGACAAGCAGCTGCCAGAGCGATCTTTGCTCGGAGGCGTTTTTTTAGCACAAAATCTGAATTTGATGAAGGTGGAGGAACAGCAGAGGAACAAGGTCGACATAGGAGTAGCTTGATTCATTCCATGCCTGTCTTGTTGTTGCAGGAACTTTGCAATTTAGGGGGCAGGAGAAGCATGGCCGCACACCGAACACACAGGGAGCTTGCTCCCAGCTATACTGCGGGGAAAGTCCGCGTGCCTTCGGGTAGAGAGTGCCACTGGGAGACCAGAAGACCTTTGCCGTGCAGCCTACAGCGAAGCTCACGTGGAGTTGTGGTTGCTGGTTTTGGTCCTTTGCAGCAGCAAAGTCATGCCATGAGCGTTTGTGCGCCAACCGAACGGGGCTCACTCTCTCCATGCCCTCTTTTCACATATGAGTTTAAGCAACTTGCAGCAGTCTTGAGGCGTCCTTTTAGGGTTTCTACTTAGCCATGGACAAGCTGACAAGCAGCTGCCAGAGCGATCTTTGCTCGGAGGCGTTTTAAGCAGAAATGTTAATTGATAAAGGTAGAGGAACAACAGAGGAACAAGGTCGACATAGGAGTAGCTTGATTTATTCCATGCCTGCAGGAACTTTGCAGTTTAGGGGGCAGGAGAAGCATGGCCGCGCAGCGAACACACAGGGAGCTTGCTCCCAGCTATGCTGCGGGGAAAGTCCCCGTGCCTTCGGGTAGAGAGTGCCACTGGGAGACCAGAAGACCTTTGCCTTGCAGCCTACAGCGAAGCTGACGTGGAGTTGTGGTTGCTGGTTTTGGTCCTTTGCAGCAGCAAAGTCATGCCATGAGCGTTTGTACGCCAACTGAACGGGGCTCACTCTCTCCATGCCCTCTTTTCGCATATGAGTTCAAGCAACTTTCGATCCCCGATTGTCTTCCAAGGGCACGACAGTCTTGAGGCTTCTTTCTAGGGTTTCTACTTAGTCATGGACAAGCAGCTGCCAGAGCGATCTTTGCTCCGAGGCGTGTTTTTAACACAAAATCGGAAATTGATGAAGGTGGAGGAACAGGAGAGGAACAGGGTCGACATAGGAGTTTATAGCTTGATTCATTCCATGCCTGTCTTGTTGTTGCAGTAACTTTGCAGTTTAGGGGGCAGGAGAAGCATGGCCGCGCAGCGAACACACAGGGAGCTTGCTCCCAGCTATACTGCGGGGAAAGTCTCCGTGCCTTCGGGTAGAGAGTGCCACTGGGAGACCAGAAGACCT